AGCTTGTTTATTGTGGGTTCGGGCTTTTGTAGTTGTGCAACTAGGGGTCAGTAGAGGCACTTTTCCTTCCTTTTGATTGAGGCCACCCTTTTCCTCTGTTTCCATCATACGCGTGTACAGCTTGCCGTAGACGCGCTGAAACCTGGGTAATACAGTCAAAGCGGCGGGAGAGCGGCAATTTATTCCCAGATTTATGAGCAATTGTATGATAGAAATATTGTTTTGGTGAGTAGTGTGAGCCTAGTCCTATAAGTAAGGCCTGCGTTTCGTGAAAGCACAGGTGTGTGATCCATAATAATTGTGGTAACCGCTTGTGTTGCGAGAGTGTTGCTTTTTAAGATTTCCCCGGGAAACTGCCCCTTCTTACCGCTCCAGAAAATATGGCGAAGGTACAGGTGTTGAATGTGGCTGTCCTAGACAACCCGAGTCCTTTCGGAAACCCCTTTCAGTTTGAAATAACCTTTGAGTGTATGGAGGACCTTGCTGAAGGTTGGTACCATTGCATAACAGCTGTCATTATCGCTTGTGTGAAGCTACAACATAAGTCTGCTAACAGCTACACAGTATTAGCTGTAGTAGCTAACTACTTTTTGTTGAAGTGTAAAGGGTAACGTTGCTTACAGGTAACATTAAAGTTGCATAACAGAATGGCTTAAAGCCTTAACAAGGAGAGTGGACGCTTCTCGCACGTCCTGTGGTACTTATGAATATGGTAAAGCAATCTATTATTATTTCCATTAAGGAAAAAAAAACAAGTTCAGTGCTAATTAGCCAACGTTTTAATGTTTGTGCGTAAAAATGTAAACAAAATATAGCTCTATTCAAGGATGGAAATCTAAAATGTTGTTTTGTTTTTTTTGCATTTGTTTGTGTAACTTTATGTGGACAGGTTCTTTGTACGAGCACACTACCAAACTGAATTTATAAAGCTTTTGAAATATTAAAAACCATTGTGCACATTAACCTACATGTTTACATCTGTTCATCAGCTGATCATTTCTTTGCTTAACAGGCTCATTTTTTGACACAAAAATAACATTTTTGTCACATCATATTTTTCTAATGAAGCACTCTATTGTAATATTTCCTGTTTATAGACCTGGAGTGGAAGATCATCTATGTCGGCTCAGCAGAGAGTGAAGAGTACGACCAAATCCTCGACTCGGTGCTGGTTGGCCCAGTACCTGCTGGGAGACACATGTTTGTGTTTCAGGTATAATTAGTTGACACTCAGAAAAAGTAGGCACTATTTGTGACTAATCTGGCCACATCACAACAGCAGTGGAGTTCCACATATATTAATAGCTTTTTGTTGTTGTTTGTTTGCTTGCTTGTTTATCAGGCGGATGCCCCAAACACTGGATTGATTCCTGAAAGCGATGCAGTTGGTGTTACAGTAGTGCTCATTACCTGCACGTACCGCAGCCAAGAGTTCATTCGCATTGGTTACTATGTGAACAACGAATACACAGACCCAGAGCTGCGTGAAAATCCTCCAATCAAGCCAGACTACACACAGGTTAGGATCATGACTGATTTCTGAGATGCAATGCTACCACGACTGCCTATTTTGAATGTTATTGGTGTAAATAACACTGTAAAGGCCTATTTCCACTGAACATTTATAATTGCAGCAAATTAAAAACCACCACAGGTTATTTGGCTATTTGAAGTAGACCTAAGTACCCTGAGAATCTAAAATTAGTCCTTTTTGGAAATAAATCTGAATTTCACTGGCATGTTAGGTTGACAGTTGAAAATTTTGATGAGAAATGCATCACTTGTTGTGACGCATGCACTGGAGGCAGACCATAGCTCTGTTATATTGAAGTCTTTTGGTACCACTGGGAAATTACAACATTTTTTGTTGTAATTAAAAGAAGAAATAAACAAAAATGACTAGTTCTTCAGATGTTATTAAATGAAAATTTACTATTAATTATAGAATTTCCAAAAATGGAAGCTATTTGATAATTATTGCAGAGGTAATGTGCCAATGTTTACAAGAAGCATACTACAGCAGTACTGATTTCATTTTGGCGTTTTCACCTGCTCTTGTGTCAATCACAGATGTTTATTTAGTACACAGAAAATGTTTAACGTCTACATACATATTTTGGATAATGCTCAAGTCAGTGGAGAGTGACTTTTTACACAAACTGGACGTTGGTTACTTCAAATAGGTAGGCTTTGGTATACTTTGTAAAGGCTGGCCTCATTTAACCTTTATTTTCTAAACCTGAATCACATTTTGAATAAGATTTTGCTAATTTTTTGTTACGATTATTTCCTCTATTTCCTGAAATATTTACTGTGCTGCAAAAACAATCCTACAGGAGTTTTTTTTTTTCCGCACCCATTTTTAATAGTGTTTTGTTCATTACAAAATACTGCTACAGACATATCTTTGCTACCATAAAGCTCAATATGAATATGTCCACAGCAGTTGTTTCCAAAACAAGTGTGGCGTTTCTTTGCATAAGTCAAATACTGACTTGTATGACAAGTTTGCAGGTAAGGTTTCTTTTGATGAGTCTTCCATGTAGGACCAGTCTGGACTACATTTCCAGCTCATTTGCACTCATTTAAGAGTTATCTTTTCCCTTCCTGCCCAAGAAATGTCTAGTTTTTGGAGATCCTTACAGGACTAACTACACTTCCTGTGAAGCAAGTGACAGTGTTTTAACATTTTAAAAGAACACTATCTACTTTGAGTGACTCGAAATTGAACCATCTCATTTGCCAAAGAAGACTTGTTGTTGTTCTACATTAGCTTAGTGCAAGAGTTACATTGTATTTGCAGATAACTTCAGTGGGATTCTATTGTAAAAATCAACCCTACTTTTTTTATGCAGAAATTAATCAAATATCTAATTGAAAATGAAATATGTGATACGCTTTGCAACTATTACCATACATATGGAGCAGCATGGTGCACTACTGGAGCCCCGAAGTTGAAGCCTTTAATTCAGCAAAGCTTGCACTTTGGAACAAAAAGCGTTGTGAAAGTTCTATTATGACATTCCTTCAGTGGCTTATACCTTCAGTAATAAGCCACTGTGAGATTTGTGGTAATTGCAAAGGGTTTTGATTGAAGGTGTCAAATTTTTAAGGTGGCTGACATCTGTGATTAAAACCTTTCACTTACAAATGCAAAAAAAAATATCTAAACAGATTACTCCGATTAGAGTTGCAAAGTTCTTGTTTCCTGTGGGAGTTTATGTGATTAGCTATTGTGAAGAAAAAAAAATACCACACTGTGCCTTTGTACTACTGGGTTCACTCTTTCCTGCCCTGAGTCTAGAGAGCACATGGAGTCAGATGCATTTACACCAGCAGTGTGCCTGTTTTGATGTTGGAGCTAACAGAAAATCAATTAGTAGTCAGGGTAAATGGTAAAGACTTTCAAATGCTACCAGACACAGTTGTTTGTTTGTTTTTTTTAAATGTTCATGTACACTTCTAATATCACACTTGGTCTTAAATGTTACACTAGTGTACACTAGTATAGTAAACATTAATTAATGTCATATTAATGTTATTTACACTGACATGCAGAAATAACACAAATACACGATGAAGATGAAATAAACCTGCCTTAAATTGTGGTCCAAAATGGTTCTATTAAAGATGCTGTGTTAGGTATTCCTAAAGAACTTGTGCAAAGAATTTATTTTTATGTTTTTCCTTTTTCAGCTCCAGAGAAATATTCTAGCTTCAAACCCACGTGTTACCAGATTCCATATAAACTGGGAAGGCTGTGCAGAGCGAATGGAAGACTCTGAAAATGTGGATCCTTCTTCAAACTCCATGCTCCCGCCATCCTGTCTCCCTGGCAAGGCCCCACCTTTGGGTGTACTCCCAGATAACTCTATGGACTGCTTATAAAGATGGCCCCTGCCCTAAAAAGGTGACGATTCACAGCCCGAAACCTTACTTCTGAACAATGCCTATGGACATTCAAGTGGGAATAAAGGATGTGTACACATCCCTGCCTTATAGCTGCCCTTTATTTTCCCGAGACTTCTCAAACATGAGTTCTCTGTACCCTGGGTTTCAAACAAGCATTTGTTCCAAGGAAGATTATGAGTGTCTGACTGGAATGAGTGTTATTTATAGTTGGATAGTTCTTTCCAGTGTTGAAAGCAATATTGCAGGAAACCTCAAATATGAAGCGATAAAACGGAACTGAAACGTAACAGAAAGCTGTTGAATGACCCACCTTACTTCCTTTCTTGGTGCAGAATGGACTTGTATCTGTTTATGAAGATTTCAGCACTGAAGCAATAGGCAATTAAATTGCAGTTTGATAATCTGCCATTATATTTGTGTTCACGGTGCACTTACACTTACTTTTCCCATTTGACTGTGGAGTTTTGTATGTCTTATATCGCTTCATGGTTTTTTTCTCCTTTTATTTTGTAATTTTGTGTTCCAAATAAAAGAAAGGTGATTTTGTTATATCTGTATGAGTGGGTTTCTAATAATTTCTAATAATCACTTGTTAGATATAGGTAACAAGTGTTAGGTTTATAAGTATATTCCACACCTGTACTTTTATCATATGCAAGCTCAGTATCACAAATATAAGTGTGAGTATCCCCTCATATTTTCACATTTTACTAAAAATAGTATGTATTAACGTCACACCCAATCACAGATTGCTATGGTAAAGGGGGCGGCTAGGCCACAGAAACGAAAAACATTGCACTGCAAATATGAGGATTATTGCAAAAGCATCGATTCTGATTTGCTTTCGCTACAATAATCTTTAAGATAAATAAAGAAAAGCTGTTAATTTGCAGTCAAAAACGAAAGACGCGGTAACTGTTATTGGCATTTTGGCTACTGGGAGTCCGGGAGGCGGGACGAAGTCGCTTGACAGTCGAATCGCATGAATGCAATGATTCAATGTGTAGATGCTGATCCAATGAGCGCTCGAATAGCTACGCCTCGCACGTAATTGTCTGTGCGCGGGGCCACTCAGAGGCAGGCGAAGGCGGGCCTGGGTGGATGGATGACTGGAGTTTCCCTTGCGGTCTGAAGATTAATGGAAGGGGTCTGTTGATCTGAGGAATCGACTATCAGGTGGTCGGTCCCAGGAAACCATTGCACTTGACGGCTTCTTTGGAAACGAATGAGGAGAAATCAAGTGGGATAAGCGGCATTGTTAAAAAAAACCCGACTATACTGGACATTTTTTTTTAAAAAAAGGTCTCAAGTGAGAAGGCCTGCATACACTGAGAGAGTACCTGGTTAGTTAAGGCCAGACTGCGAGGAACGCTCAGAAGCTAACTTTAGCTTGCTAGTTAGACAGACGGAAGTGGCTTTCGACGATCTGTGCCCGGACTTGAGTTTTTTTTTTTTTTTTTTGGTACAAAACCAAGCCGTCTGTGGAAATAAATAACAACTAATTGACAAGTTGATTTGTCCGTGCTTGCTGGAGAAATCGACGAGCTAACGCTACCAAGCTGACATCCGCTGGCTATCTCTGCGAGCTAGCGCGCTAAGCTGAGCTAACTTAAAGCGGCTAACGCTTGGGGCAGTCTTCTGAGTTTCCCTGAAGTCACAACGGAAGAGTGCTGCTTTGATCTACATTTACATTTAGTCAATAATGATAGCTGTCAGCTAGTAGCTAGCTGTCAGTTTCATTGAGTCCAGTGACTTGCGTTAACGGTGTAACAATACTCAGTGACTCGCAAAGGAAAACTGATTCCGAGCCAAGGGACTCCACCATCAGCCTGCCATCATGGGCAACACGCCCACAGCAAAGAAGGGCAATGAGATGGAGAGCGGTGAGTTGTACCCTTTACCTCTAAGTTGAAGCAGCTAGCCCGATCATGCCGTCTGCCCCTTAGATCGTTTTGCTATAGTCATTTCCTGTTTCCCATAATGACAGGGACATATGGAGTATACAACCTAGCATCTGTACAGTGCATACCACATTAAAATGCTGCAACGGATTTTCTCTAATATGAAGAAGTGTTTGTCAACCTAGACCCACGAAGGACACCCACCCGTGGTCATTCACCTCATACACTGTCATACACTTTCAGCCAAAGTTGTTTTACTGTGAGGCCACGGTCATCTCATCGGAACAGCAGGGGATGTTATTCATTTTCTCTGCTCATCCTGTGGGAAAGCTCGTGACTGCGAGCCCGAGGTTATATTCAGAGTTACCAGTGAGGATGACAACAATTGGCCTCATACAACAGTCATAGGTTTCCTTGCGGTTTGTGTTTTTTAGGTCTTCACTTCAGGTCATGAAAGCCGACAATAACACCGCAAACACAAAGCCCACTGTGCAGCTGCTTTCTTGTGAACTTCTTAGAATCGCTTCAGAAAAATAAAACCTTCTTCTCTGTTTTTGAAGCCAGAGGAGAGATGCACATACTACTTTGGATGTTTACATTAACCTCCTAGGACTTGTCGTCCACATATGTGGACATCACATTTTGGGTTATTTAGACCAAAATACTCAATTTTGCTCTACATGGGCCTGATATCCACTTACGATACATTATACATTATACAGCTACTGTTCTATCAAAATTTTAAATGAATATCCCCATATGTCTCTTATTTTTCTTAAAAACCAAAATAAGGTTAAAAAAAAATCTCGTAATTCTTTGTTTTTACATTCATCGGGCCCCAATATACCCAAATATCAAAGAGAAATTAAAAATGCATGCCGTGGAAGAGTTCGGGTCTTAGGAGGTTATGTTTACATTAGGATGTTTACATTAAGTGATGAGTGAGATCTTAATGCAGTGACTCTCATAGAGCAAAAATAACTGTTATCAGTGGAAGGAGGAAAATAATGCCACCAGGACAGGGTCATATGATGCATGAGGGCAATTTGTCTGAAGGCACAAAGTTGGGAGTTGAGGAGTCTCTTGAACAACATGTGATGAGCGGCATTTAGAACAAGAGCACTTGTATGCGTCACAGAGTCTGTGTAATGTGGAGAAAGAGGTGATCTTGGACCATCTTACTTGTTTGTTTTTGTCTAGTATATGTTTGTTGTTGCTGTTGTTGTTGTTTTTATCAAAAAGTTCTTCAACAAAAGTAGAATAAAAACCCCAAAGAAATGTTAATCATATACAATAATAAGTATTTTTAAAAACGACTTATTTTCTTATGAAAATAACTTTGAAGTTCCTTTTTAACAGTCTGGATCACAGGGTTGCAGAAAAGTTTTGAGAGGACACTGTTTTATGTTTCCATAACACCATAAATGACGCTCAAGTGTGCAAAGTCTGAACGGGTACCTGTTAAATGAATGTCAGCTCCTTGCTGCTGGTAGAGAGTAAGTGTGAAGAATGGCCTCTAGGCTCTCTACTGTACTGTTACCCATGTAAGAAGGCCAAGGTTTTCAAGAGCCGTGGCTCAAAGATTTTTAATTTTTTTTTCCTCAGGGTTGTAGACGTAAAGAAAACTTACGGATTAGTAGGTTAAAAACATTGACAGAGGAGGCACTGCTGCCGGAAGGTCTTTTCATACTTCGTCATACTTCACATCTTTATCAGTCTGATCTACAGAGACAGGTGCAGGCAAGGGGTTGAAAGGCCACACCCAGAAGCATCATTTTCCACTGAGCAGCTAGAGATTAAGGGCAACATGTCAGCCGCCTTTGTTTCCTACGTAAAATGGAAGGACAGTGTTGAGTGCTGGTCCAGGTGTTTAACACGTGTCGCGTCCGAACTTTCCAGGCTGGGCAGGCAAGTGAGACACTGAACTGTTGTGCAGAGCTGACCCACAGGAAGAAGCAGGGCGGACAGACAAGTGAACAGCAGTAGGAAGTGAAGGAGCAAGGAAGTTCCAGCCCAGGCTCTGCACAGTTGGTCATCGCCTCTTCTGCTCTATAGACTAAACAGCCATACAAGGAGAGCTTAAAGTTTGGGCCTTTAAGACGACGTTAGTTGAGCATTTTTGTGGAATTCCTCCTTGGTAAAATATCCGGACGTACAGCAGTTTTTAAAAGTCTACACAGGACATCAGCTGGCTTCCCTCCAGCATTGTATGATGTCTGTAATTCACAAGCTGGCAGGAAGGCTGTTTCATCGAGCTGGACCCTGTCTAGGGGACATAGGCAGTGGAGAAGGCAGACATGACCGACCACAGGAGGAGCTAGAGGCTTGCAACTGGAGTGAGTTTTTATTCTGGAGCTGGGCAGTAGTGTGGGTTAGGGGTGGAGCTGTAGCTCATGCCATGTCCCTTTAGCTTAGTCCTTCACAGGCAGAGGGAAAACGTCTGACAGATAACCAAGCTGTGTTTTCTTGATAATGTTGCACTAAATTAATCTCTTGAACTGGGGGATTGAGTGTCTAACGTTCATGTATAAAAATACATACGCAGAGCAGAGCACCCTGATGTTTGTGTCTGCTCAGTTACCACTTGTTTTTTTTATAGTTACAGTGAAAAGGGGGGCAGTTCTCTGTGCACTGTGCTGCACAGCAAAACACTCAGGCTAAAACTACACAACATGAACGGATTTTTTTCATTCTTTGCCTTTCTTATGTTTTTGTCACTGTCCTCCTGACTCTAGTTTAAGACATTTTTCTGTACCTTCACACTTAAAGTGCTCTCATTGGGCTTTGCAAAACGTTCGCTTTGCGTTAGTGTGTTTTAAAGGGGTTTTTTTTTTTTGTGCATGAACAAAAAAACTCAGCCAAGTCTACTTATAAGGCAGTTATTCCCTGTCACTAGGAAAAACATGCTGCTTCTGAACTGGCAAAAAGCCTTATTGGCCAGTTCAGCCTTTTTTTTTCTTCTTTTTTGTAACTTAATAACATCACCCTGCAACATATTTACATAATGGGTTTGTGAAAGTTACTTTACTTGACATCCAGAGTGTCATAAGTGCATCAGCTTTGGAAGTTTTTTTTCTTTTAAAACTACGTTGCCTAGATAGGTTTTAAGTGATTTCATGCCCATTTTTAGAGCACAATCACTTTCAACATCCATCTAAAAAAAAAAAAAACAACCCAAAAAACCAAACCCCAAATATTCTTGATCTTAAATCTTATCCCAAGTGAATGTGTCCAAATTGTGTACACTTTGCTGTATAAAATCAAATGGATTTTGATTTGTACTATCGCTATTTTATTGAGTACTTTACTCAACACAGATCGCCAAGAGTAAAATCATAATTGTTGCATTGTCTAAGAAACTGATTTATGATTTAACTTTATGCTTTGTAATTCCTTTACGATGGCAGTGTCCCAATAACAATAGGGGGAAAAAAATCTCTTAACGTCAGCCATGCAAAATGCTATCTTTGATGTGTCCGCAAGCCAGGGCTGTGTCAAAATGATAATACTGAGAACAAATCAGAAATTATGAAAATCTTTAACACAGATTGGAGACTTATGAATAAGGACTGGGTTTAATTGTTGTTTTCTTTGTACCTTTTATGCTACAGAGCAACCTAAACTAAGCTGGCATCCCCAGATAATACACGTGCGGAGAACTTAAAAGTGTCTTAGGGCGTGTCCTCGACACTCAAGGCCAATGCCAACGCCCTATTTCGCAGGTTTAAAAATGTTCATCCTGTCTCTTTTTCCTCTTGCCCATGTTCTACGTCTTTGCCAAGTGTCATGATTCGTGCTTGCAGGCAAACGTAGCTCGGTGTTATCTCGTTTTTGGCTGGACCTGCTCACTAGTGAGAGGAGACTGGATTTTTAGTGGAGGGGGGAGGGGAAGGCGTTAAAGGAACACGAGCAGAATTAGAGGCAGGGTGAAAAGTTGAGTAGCGAGTAGTTTACTAGTCTCGTGAACAGGAGAAAAAAACACTAGTCAACCATGGACGCATGAAAACACAAGATAAACCGAGCACAGTCAAACGGTTGAGGTTAAACATTGGTTAAACCTTTGCATATGTATTTCAAATCAACATTCGACAATCAAATCACGTTGTAAATGTTGCTGAAATGTGTGACACATTGTGTCATTGAGACGCACACACAGTCAGATTAGTTAGCAGTCCTTGCACTACCAGCCTTTTTTCCTTGCTGGCGTCAGCCGATACACGACCATTAAGATCCAACATCAAAGTGTGGCACAACTGCACTGGTTCAGCAGCTGTCATCTGCTTACTTAACATCGCGCTTGTTTAAAACTTCCCATCACAGAGAGGGAGAGAGAAAGGGGGCCACAGCCGTCTGTCTGAGCTGCAGACCATGTTAGGGGTGGGTGGCATGATGGGAGCATCTTTTAACCATTAATGCTTTTCATTAATCAGATGATGTTTGACTGAGTAGTATTTCTGGTGGCGACTTGCAAGGGCTGCAGCATTTAAACATGCAGATGACTGGTCACGCATAGTCCTTTTGAAGAGAGGTATTGCTGCAACTTATAGTATAAGGGTCAAAAACTGCATGTATTTTTAAAGTATGTGAGCATTTTGTTGTAAGAAAAAAAATTGCTAATGAGTGATCAGTGGGTCCTGTAAATATGAGCAAAACCTTGGTCAGTTAAGCAGTTATGACACAGGATGTTTGTGTGCTTGTGTGTTTTGAACATGACAATATAATGAGGTAGCACTCAATACAAGTACAACTCCGTCTATAAATATCTGTGGGGTTCATGACCTGCCCCTGCTCTGCATGCAGCTGATTTATGTGATGGTTAAAGTTTTTTGGGTTGTTTTTGTGTGTGTGTGTGTGTGTGTGTGTGTGTGTGTGTCGTAAGCCTGCACTGCTTATCAGTTGACCTCAGTGTTGAAAGCCAATCAGACATCTCAGGCAAGCTTAGAGCACTAAACTGACAACATGGCAAACTGACACTCGCTGCT